CGGTTATTCACCGCTACACGGCACTGGCTAAACTGTTTCAATTTTCAGCCATCTGCACTTGTTCGGAGCTCTGAAATACACGCTTTCTCATTGACTATGTCCACGCATAGGCGTGCTTTACTCCACGTGGACCGGTGAAACTGCCTTTGATCTTATACGGGGGATATTTGCTGCGAAATTTGGCGATTTTTGCAGCAATAGAGCGTGTTAAATATAAATATATAAAACGCACCCGGTATTTCACAGTGTTTCAAGTGACTTCAGATAAAGTATACACGATTTTATTTTTAAATAAATTATCATCATTCTCATAGCATCCACAAGCGTCATTTTCGTGCTCTTCATCTTCATCATTACAGTTTGCCACAGTTTTCTCAAAGATTTCAGCCATCCATCTCGGCTCCGGTTCTGCTTCATACCATTCGTCACCAGACAATGTAACAAGTGGGTGTTTCAAACTATCAAGCTTTTTCTGATTTATTTCATGGCAAGTCGTACTTCGGAAAGTTCGATTTGATCTAACCGCTTTTTAGGTGTCAACAAAGTTTAAAATTTTTTTTGCTGAGGGCTTTCCTCGTTTAATGATTATTCTTTTACTTGAGCTACTTCCTAGGACTTTTATCAAACAGATTGAATCTTGTTTTGTATTCATCAATGACCAATCAGTTCGAAGTTTTCTGGTTTCGCCTTCTTGTTTGTGAAGTTCCCAATATTTATCAGGTATGTTTATGACCGCGTGTCATCCTAAAATCTCTTCCACCCTCCCAAAAATTCTACCTGTCGGAAGATAAGAGTGTCCTCGCACTGGGAAGATAACTTCTATTTTTTAATAGTTTCTGGAGAAAAGCTGTATTATAACATTTGCATGTGGATGGTAAAGCTATTTTTATTTTGCCCCCCACATCCATCAGAGAAGAGCCGAAGAGTGCCTATATTCGGGACAAAATGGATCTTTTTCAAGAAATCAAGTAGGGCTGAAGATATTTCTGCCAGCTTGATGTTCCATCCATTAATAAAAAACTGAGCGGACTTTAATCAGTTTGTTTGTCTAGGTATTATTTCCCCCCTAATAGGACGACTGTTCAAATGTTCATAAAGAGTGAGTATTTCATCATAGAAATGCAGCGTCACCTCTATCTCAAATATTGAAAATTTGGACAAAATGCATTTTGCAAGTCATCTATTAACAATCCAAAGATTTTAACTGCTCCTTTTATCTGACCAGCATGACTATTTGAAGTTATGCTCAAATTACTGCTAATAAGGGACTTTAGAATTAGAATGGTTCAACAGGAGACTATTTTCTGTTTTTAGGTCCTCTATTATTTGTGCTTCCGAAATTTCTAAATTTTCATTATTTTAACTATAACTTCTTGTAATGGTTTTAAAATAATGTTTAACCCAGATATGCCTAAAGCTCATATAAATTATAATAAAGTATGTTCTCTGCAAATTGATTCTATATAAGCATATATTAAACAAATTTATTATTTTTTAAATTTTATTTTAGGAAAAAGTGTAAAAAAATGCCGTACAAAATATGGTACACTAGGCACATAGACGAACATTAAGATTTAGTATGGAAGGACAAAAAACATTTTACATGCATCCCTACATTGCACCTTGTTTTTGCTCTATCATGATCTAGTTGGCTTTTCTTGTGGTATCACAAAATGATCCAAACGATCATAACGAATATCTATATATTCATTAGCCAAAGGACGTCCTCTAGAAAAAGGTGGCGGTCTCTTGTTTTGTTGTAACAAGGCTGTGGCAAGCCGCCGTCTAAATAATAATTGATCCATATGTCCGCCGTGCGATCTATAAAGTTGCCAGGAATTATGAACAGCCATATCAATACAGTGGCTAATCAATGAAAAAAACCTACTTTTTACCACGGATGGAAATGCGATACAGCCCAATATTTTGATCACAACGATCAACGCCGCCCATATTTGCGTTGTATACATTTACAAGATGAGGCTGTTCTACCTAAAATCAAAAGCATTTTTGAAAACATTGATTTTCTTGCAGATTGTGTTTCTTACCTGAATACTTTTTTTATCCTTTTGAGAGTATCGCTTTACAAAGCGAATTGGTTGCAATCCTGCGGCATTTGAACAGAATATTACTAAATTATTGTCATGCCATTTTGCTGCAATTTTGTTTGTATCGGAAATTTTGTTGTAATCGTAACTACCTCTTTTTTCCCTTTTCATAATTTTATAATCTCTGAATTGGACGCCTTGTAAACGATTTTCTCTAGCAGTACCAGTCGCAAAAAAAATTTTTCTGTCAATTTTACCATAAGAGGGAGAGAAGTGAAAAAATTGTCGAAAACTAAATGAAATTTTTCATTTGGCCATTTCCTCCTGCATCAGAATACCCTAATACCACATCAGCACCAACCCCTGAATCTGCATAATTCTTACTAATGTTGGTTGACGACCCTTGGTAAGGTTCAACCCAGTAAACGTAGCCTAGTCTTGATGCGCCAACCCATAATTTATAGCCATATCGTATAGGTTTTCCGTGAATGAACTGTTTGCCAAAATAAGGAACCATTGCCTCATCTACACTATGCATTTCTGTCAAGATTCCATGTTCCATAAATTTTTGATTCAGGCTCGCAAATAAAGGTCTAACTTTTGCAAACTTATCTCCTTGATGTAAATGGTAGTTATCTACTAAATGGAAATTTGACATAATATACTCAAATTTATCTCGTGCAAGCGCTTCTGTGACGAGTTGATTATTAGCATCTCTTTCACGTTCCCAGAACATTCTTCTACGTGGTACATCGACATAACCACTCAATATTAGTGTTCCAATAAATGCCATTATTTCATACTCTTGCACCTCTTGTTGGCGATTCTTTTGCCTGGCATATCTATTTGTTTCAGTTGTTATGCGTGTTATAAGTTCGCCGTCAAAAAAAGTGAAAACCATTCAAGTGGAGTCTTAGAAGAATTATTCTGATCAAGAATTTTTTCGAAGTTTCCTGGGACCATTTGTACGTTTTTCGTTTCTTTAGTTTTTTGTTTTTTATTTTTTTAGCCAATTCAGACAATGGAATATTATCTTCGGAATCAGATGAAGATATGCTAAATTTTTCATGAGGTATGCTTATCTCAGCAGGTGCTTGTAATTGTGATCCCGGTAGATTATCAGCTGACATTACATTCTCATCGCCCGAGTCCTCGTCTGTGAGAATGTCACAAGCATTGATTGGAGGCATCAATGTGATATTATCCACATTTGCTACTACATCTTCATTATCCTCCAGCATAGCAAGGGCTTCCTCCAGAGAAAATCCCCTAAAAATGAAACAGGCATGTATTTTCCTGGCGTACAATATTTTGCAGACTCAAATATAATGACGCAATTGTGAATCCTTAAATAAGTAATTTGGAATTATAACGGGAAAAAAGCATGTGTGTTTTATTGGTAGAAGCAATCAAAACATTTTTTTATTTACGTAAAGGCCATTATATTTACTTACTTGGCAAATCGTATTCCATATTCAGCCATGTCACAAAAAATAAAAACTTCTTCACTAAATCGCAAAAAAATCTCAATACAACGATAACACCCAACCGCACGTTACGATTTACTAAGGCTTACTGAATACATCTGTTCTATTACCGCGTCAAAATAAGCACAGGTCGTTGCAAGTCGCGACTTGTTTACGGTGTACCATAGACTGTACGCTAGGCATATCTGGGTTAAGCAAAGCTACACCTTATATATTGGCCACCCTGTATAAAAGCAAGGTTTCATATTTCGATATAATACCTTCGAATTCTATAATACTCTAAGTTTGTAACGTGCCACGGAAAAAAATCGTCTTGTCTCTTTCACACCTACTACATGTTCAATCAGGCACAGGCACAGGATGAGCGAATCTTGAAGCCACACTTTTTTTCGCTCACTCCAGTAGCTTCCCTCAATACGGCTCTGCACTAGCCACGTGAAAAAAGCAACTTGAAAGAAGAGAGACACCAGAAGAACAGTTTATTAATCCATCCGCAGCATAGGCTTTGAACAAAACTTGAGAATTCTCTCACTAAGGCCGGCTTTAAGTTGTTTTTCCATTCGTAATTGTCCACAGAACACGCAGTTTTTTATTCTCGCGGATTATGCCGAAAACTCTCGAGCAAGTTTTGATTTCTGCATTGTCGCTTCTCACAGAGAAGTTTTCTCTTTGTGCTTTGTGTATACAATGGGACGATTATTCTGAATATTGTAACTTGTTTCGCTGTTTTATCTTTGTCTTATTCTGGTAGTGCTGAATATAATAATTCATAACTCCACTATGAGCATCTAGGGCAGGCCCCGAGAGAACTTGGATAGGCAAAACATTAGAGTAAGGCATTCTTCCTACGGATACTAGCTTAGAATAGGTCGAGGAACATGCTTAAAAAGTCATACAGAATATTTGGGCAAATGAAGAAGAATAGAATTTATTTATTTGGAAATCGGCTAAATTGAAAATAGTTTTATGGACAAGCTGGAAAGGATATCAAAAATATCTTTTCGTGACGACCTTGATATATTACTAGTGCATATTTTAAAATCATCTTTCTATATACAGGGTGTTTTATAACTTCGCGTCATGGGAAACATATATTTTATTAAATAGAACATCCTATATCTCATTACATATTTTTTTTTTATTTATTTATTAGCAGCAGATTCAACATGTATACAGTTTTTTACATCATATTAAATATATAGACTTTACAATTATTGTATAATATTTAAATCCAGCTATCTATTCTTAAAATTACCCACTTTTGCTAATAGTTTTAGATGCACAATTGTATTCAAAATACTGTGTGTGCACCCCCATTCACATTGTTAAGTGTAACTTTTTCATTGAGGTTCTTAATTCTAGTTTACAAAGAGAAAAAGAAATATAAAAATAGATCAGACAAATTCAAAGCTATTATGTTTTATCTTAAATTTTAGGAACTTAATACCTTTAATGCTACAGGTTTTTATATTACATAATTAATGGCGTATTGACTATCAATAATCCATCTTGTTAATTCCTTTTTAACAGTAGAATATCTCAATCTCTTAGTACTATTTGGCACATCATTATAAACTTTTGGACCTATACAGTAAACGTGACTCTGGCAAGCTGTGTGTCTAGGGTTTTGCAATTTTACTTTTGCATGAGCAGCACTTCTTGTATTTTGGTCATGCTGTAAGTATTCTTTGTAGAAATCATATTTCATCATAAATCTTATAAGTGATTTTAAATAGAGCTGCTCTAGGTTCAGTATTTTACTGTCTCTAAAAACAAGATCAGATGAAAATCGTTTCTGTTTGAAAAGCATAATTTTTATGATCCATTTCTGAGCTACCTGTAACTTGGATAACGTTGCTAAACTTGTATTTCCCCAAACTACGAAACCATAATTAATTACAGATTCTGTTAAAGCAAAATAAACTGTTTTAAGAGTTCTGAAGTCTAATATTTCCCTTAATTTATAAAATTTGTGAATAAGTTTTCTAATCTTGTAACATACTCAACATGATCTTTCCAAGTAAGAAGTTCATCTATAATTATTCCTAGATATTTCAAGCTCGATTTCTTATTTATATATTTGCTACATGCACACTGAGGTGCAAAGTCACAATATGAGTCATGAATCTTAATGCAGTTTAGATTAGGCAAAGTACGCGAGGAAAGGGAAAAAGTCATAAAATTGGTTTTCTCAATATTTAGAGAGAGCAAACTAAAATCTAGCCAATTTTTAATTGTGTGCAATGCTCTTTCAGCTTTTAATTTGATGGAATCCCAATCTTCATCACTTACTAAAATACTCGTATCATCTGCAAAGCAATAGATAGTTATGTTTGCATCATTTAATTGTTCCATTATATCATTTATGTATATTATAAACAGCAAAGTTGAGAGAACCGTACCTTGTGGCACCCCGCATTCTACCTTCAAAATATTACTTTCCTTTGTTCACGTCCAGAAAGATAGGACTTTCTGAGTTTATTTGGAATGCCCCTTATTCCCAGATTATCCAAACGACCTAGTAAAATTGGATGTGCCACTGTGTCGAATGCCTTTTTTAGATCTAAAAATATACCCATCACCTTTTTTCCTTGGTCTAGCCCTTTCAGAATACTCTCAGTGACCCTGACAAGTGCAACTTCAGTGTTAGAATTCTCTCTGAAACCAAACTGATTTAAGTTGAGTAATTTATGCTTTTCCAAAAACTGCATTAATTTTCTTTTCAGACATTTCTCAATAATTTTACTTACTGTAGTAGTTAATGCAATGGGTCTATAGTTGTTCATGTCTTTTTTATCTCCTTGTTTGTGAAAAGATATCACTTTGGTTTTTTTTAATATTTGTGGAAAAATTCCAGTACCAAAAAATAGGTTTATTATGTGTTTCAATGGAATACTAAGTTTTTCTTTATATTTCTTGATTATATTTGATGAAATATTATCCTCCCCGCCTTTTACCCCATTCTTTAAACAGTTTATCTCCCTAATTACATCATCATTCGTCACAGGACACAAGAAAAGTGATTCATTACCTCTTTTTTTCCCGCACTTCATTCCTCCAAGTACCTCTACTAATTTCACTTGCTAATTTTTTACCAATGTTACAAAAATAATTGTTAAATTCATCTGCAACTTTTTTATCAGTTATTTCTGAATTAGTTTTGGTAGTGATACATTTTATTTCTGGTTTACTCTCTTGGTCATTGGTGGCCTCTCTAAGCACATTCCACAATTTTCTGGGGTTATCCAAATTTTTTTGTGTTAAATATTTGTAATAATTATACTTCACTTTCTTGATAAGTTTACTTAAAAATTTCCTATATTCCTGATACCTGTTTAAAACTACGAAATTGCTGGGATTTAGTGCACATTCCCTTTTAAGGAGGTTTCTGTTTCGAATAGATATTAGGAGCCCACCAGTGATCCAAGGTTTTAATTTCTTTTTTTTATTGGGTATAGGCCTAGTTATAGTGGCTTTCAAAATGATGTCTTTTAGTCTATTAATGAAAGCCTCTGTGCAAAGCTCTACATTATTTTCTTGTAGAACATCACCCCACAACTCTCCGTTTAGTTTTTGTCTGATATTTTCATAATCTATTTTTGTAAAAGTATTAGTTTCATTTTTAATGCCCTCACCTAATCTATCTAGCTGAATATTAAGGAGAATGGGGTGATGATCTGTAAGGTCGCTCTTCAAAATCACAGCCCTAACCTTTTCAAAAACATTACTCTTACATTTAATAAAAAAGTGAACAAGTCCCACTGTTATCAGTAATTCTTGTTGATTTATTAATTGCACTCATTAACCCATAGCCTTGCAATAAAGTCAAATAGTTATTTGTTGTATCTGTTTCCCTATCTAAGAGATCAATATTAATGTCCCCAGCAAATACATAAACCTTGTTCCGATCAGTGATGGAACGTTGAAATATTCTTCCTAGACTATCAATGAATTCATCCTTTGAAATACAAAAACACCTATACGTAGCTAGGAGAACAACCGTTGCATGTTTTTTTTGCAAAGTGACACTAATAATCTTTAAATTATTTTCTTGAATTATTTGATTTGTAATATGATATTCATTTTTAACAAAAATTATTGATCACATCGATTAAGAATATTTTGTACCCAGGAATGTTAAAATCGTCTATATTGTATACATAGTGTGTTTCTGACATAATTATAACATCGAAAGATTTACTTAATGATTCAAGATACTCCAAAAATTGGTCAAAATTTTGATAAATACTACGTATGTTTACATGCATAAAATTAAGGTCGCTTACAGAATTATCAAAGAAGTCTACTTGACATAAGTTATCACATATGTTTGTTTCTAAGATCTTATAATCATCAAAAATACTGTTTATAGCCATTAAAAAAGAGAAAATTATTACTTACAAGTTCTGTTATAGATCTCCTAAAACATTTACTATACCTACACTATCTTAATTTGTCCAAATCAGACTCACATTTAATTTTTATGGCTTGCTCATTTTCATTTGTTTTGATGTAAACAGATCCATTGAGGTAAAAAGCTGCCTTATATCCCTTTTGCTTTTTAAGTTCCCTTGCCATCTTGAAAAGTACCCTCTTAGACATTGGCAGATCCTCGTTGAAATAAATCTTTCTGTCACTTCCCTCTAAGCCACATTGCCTTGTAGATATACCCTTTAAATCCTTTATTCTTTTGATGACATCCCTTTTTGCCTGCTCACTTTGCATTTTTAACAAGATAGGTCCTTCACCATTTTTGTCCAATCGAAAACTCTCCATTACCATGTTTGTAGTTTGTATTTGCATAGCTGTAAAAATCTTCATTATACTTCCTTTAATGTCTAAATTGGTTTGTTTTGGCACTCCTGCTACTATCAAATTCTTGGTCCTTTCCTTGTTCTCAAAGGCGTCGACTCTCCCTTCCAACATCTGAAGTCTCTTCTTCAAGTCCGCAGTTTCCTTTTTTAGTGTCTTATTTTCCAACAAGACACTTTCCAATGCCCGCTTTTGATCATCAAAAGAGTCTGACATGTATTGAATAGATTCACTCAGGACTTGGATTTTGCTTTTAATTTTCTGCTCTACTGGTCCTAAGTATTTCAGAAAAGACTCCTTGATAATATCCCTCAATCGCTTTTCATCAAACTCCCAAGCAGAATCACATTTTTCATTTTTTCGAGTTTTTGTTGCCATAACCTCACTTTTCTTTTCAGTCAATAATGAATGAATGAATAAGGCCCCTAAAAATAAGTTTGATATCATCCGATCGTCAATCGTTCAGATATTTGGTCAAATGTCTGAAGAAATGCCCAGGTTTGTCGAATCGCAGCTCCGTCACTTTTGAGGCTATTTAGATAAATCTTAGTTCACAAAAATTTTATTATCTTCGATTTTAAGCTGATCTGGAAAAAGTGCTGAAATTTGGTTCAATTTATACAGGGTATCTCAAAACGCAAAGTGTTTCTCAAAACTTGGAAACTGGAACACCCTCTATGTTCACATAGATACGGTTCTGAGATTGATTGTCTTCGTTTAAGCTAAGTCTTGCTGGAGAAAAGTAAAGCTATATAATTATATAGAAATATACAGGGTTTTTGAAATATCCTGTATAAATAGAAAAATATTTTAGCAATTCGTTCAGATCAGATTTTTGATATGTTTGCCAGTTTTCTCATAAAACTACTTCCATTCTCGTTGGGACACCCTGTGCACAATTTCTATAATATGTAGCAATAAAATAATCAACATGTAAATAACTATACGTAGCTTAAGATTAATATATTTAAAAAAGGATATCAATTAGTAGAACATACATCAGACTAAAGCAAAGTCTGGCATTAACAAATTTGGGTAGCTCTTTCTTAATTCGATTAGCAGTTGAACATTCTTTGATGTGCCTAGGTTTGTTGAACGCATTGAAGCCTTGAAAATATAGTGAGTCCATAGAGCTCATTCTAGCCGGTTTGGAAATAGATACGTCCATGTTTTGTCTGAGTGGGTAAAGATGAACATCAAAAGCAGAGTTAATATGGCAGATAAAGATAAAGACGGGTGGCTCGTATCTTGTATAGTACCTCCACCATATAAGCACTTGATATAGGGGGGTACGTCTGGGGCAGAGTAGCAATAAATAAAATACAAAGATCGTTTTTTAGCTGTTAATAAGGAGTGAACTTACTATTTTAAAATATTAAACTATAGTGAAGCTCCTTCATCTCAAGTTTTCAAATAAAAGCGTGTTACACCCTTCTTCCATTCTGCAGTCAAAGCGTAACATGCTTTTATTTGAAAACTTGAGATGAAGAAGCTCATTTATAGTTTAAATATTTCCAAACAGAAAAAAGTATTTTTAAATTTTTATTTCACTTTACTTACTGCTAAATAAAAGCTTGATTTCAAAAATATTTGTTTAATTTTATTTATTTCTTACTTCTTAGTATTTACGATGTCAAATAACGGATTTTATAATTCCCATAATTATAAGTTTTATATATTTCAATACTTTATTTGTATTATAAAATTGGGATTGATATAAATCATATAACGATAAATCAATGTTTTAAAATGACGTTATTTGCTTATTGTGTTTCTCTCGTTAAGCCCTTTGATTTGATACCCAAGACACATGGAAATTATGCATCGCCGTTTAACGTATTAGATTTAGAATGAGGTAACATTGCTTGTCATGTTTTCTCGTAAAGCCTTTTGATTTGATATCTACGTATATCGTATATATATATATATATACGTATATCGTGGGGATAACTACGGAAATTATAAAACGCAATCTGGCCGTGACCGCCATATTGGACTTATAATGACGTCACTTTGTTTATTATGTATCATCAGGTTCTTTAGTTTGATATCCATAGTATAGGGGTGACTATGGAAATTATCTATCAATTAATCAATCAATATATGTTAAAATAGTACTTGTTTCAGTGTAAAAAAGCCCAGCTAAAAGTTAAAATCTTGCTAACTATAACAAAAGCACTTATAATTACGAAGGGCATCCGATATGTAAACGCACTATGAACATAACGTTAGACATACTACGTACATAATTATACTACAATTGATCACTAATTAATTAAATTCTCCATTGTTTGCCGAGGTTGGTACAAAATAAATTGCTTTAATACTTCTTTGAATGACTCCAAGCTGTTGATATGTTGAACATTTGAAGGACTAGTGTTGTACAGCTTAGGAGCAATATATACATATGAACGCTGTCCAATACAATGATGAAAAAGGGCATATTATAAATTCGGCGGTTTTTGCCATATTCGATTCAGAATGACGTCACGTTGCTTGTTATGTCTTCTCATGAGGCCCTTTAATTTGATACCTACGTCATAGGGGTGGCTACGATAATTATAAACCCCATCATTGGGTGGTCGCCATATTGGATTTAAAATGACACCACTTTTTTTTTGTGTGTCTCTCATCATTCCCTTTCATTTGATACCCATGTCATCTGGGTGACTGTGAAAAAACTGAATCACCATTTTGCATCGCCCGCGATATTGGATTTAGAATGACGTCACTTTGCTTACTATGTTTTTCTCTCCAAGCATCGCCATTTTTTAGCGTCGCTCAAACCAAACCCGTATACAAAATGTCAGCTCACTAGCGCAGTTGCTAGCATGCTAACGCTATGCTATATACTGTTGCTGACATGCTAATGCAATGCTCAAAACGACATACTTTATCGCTATCGTTAATCATTTTTTATCCTTTATCACCTTTGATCTTACATCTATTGTTTATCCTTTATATACGACCTTTCATCTTTTTTTATCTTTTCTCTCTTATCCTCTATCTTTTATCTGTTATGTGTCCTCTGTCATCTGTCATCATCTGTCATCTGCCACCTGTCTTCTGTCACCTGTTCTGTCATCTGTCACATGCCACCTGTCATCAGTTACCTGTCATCTGTCATCAGCCATATGCCATCTGTCATCTGTCACCTGTCGTATAAAAGCTTTTGAACGAAAAGGAATACAGAAATAAGAAAAGACGCTCTCAATGTCCGATGTCAGGGGTTTCTTACGCAAAAATCTTTAGGTTCGTAGCTCCTTTATCTTTGGAGGAGACAGAAAGTGAACATCGAACAGCACGTTTTCAATCGCATTTTATCCTCTTACCTCGTCGGTTCTTACTCTATCGTAAAGCGCCGAGTTTCTAGTTTCCAAAACCACCGCTTTCCGTTAAAACCTTTTGCGAACCCGGAAAAAACCGAAAAAACCGCGTCGACGTCAAACGCTCCGATCCAGACTCGATACGCGAGCGGGCAACCGAAAAACAAAAGATCACCCCTTAAACGCTAACTGGTTCAAAATTCAGTTCCAAGATTTGTCCTACACATACATACTAACATACAAACAGATCAATTTGAATAAAATCTTGCAAAAATATCGCATCCTCCTCATAAAAGACACTCTATAACAATTATCAAGTCGACGTAGTGAACCGCATATCTGCAGTCGGAACCATTAGCGGTATCTTGATCTCCATTAGTCCGGGTTGTCATCTTGGGTCGTCGGAAACAGCTGAGCAGGCGGCACGGTGAAGCATGGCACACTGTCTCTCTGTTTGAATAACTCTCAAATAGAATATTAGATTAATTAGCATCCCCGTAATTAGCAGCGTACATAAGGTAATATTTGCACTGTCGCTGTTACTGCTGCTTGCTGCTGTTGCTGCTGATGTCGACAGCCACCGAGAGCGAAACGGACGACGTAGACGCTAGGGAGTTGTCCTTCGTCCCTTATTCCAGTGGCGGCAGTGCTTGGGGCCGAAGTGATGTTTTTTAGATCCTTTATGACATGTTCGTCACGAAAAACCATGCCACTTATTTCTGCCGTTCTGTCCGCGAATACTTAGCCCGTCTATAACTTGGAAACTACTATGCCAAGGATGAAGAAGCTTTGTCGTTTTAGAAAATTGGTCCAGTGGCCAAAATGCTAAAAATTAAAAAATAAAGTCACTAATACTTCGTCCTTTGACGTTCCAATCATTTTTTAAAAATATGTTATGAGTTAATATTGTTATATATTATTAAAGTTTTTTGATGTTAGGACATGAATAGACTTCCAACTCTGCTAATTCTATTAGTCATGTTTCACACATCATTGATTTCCCCTTACTTTTGCCCTTAAAACAAAAAAAATATTTTCGTTATCACGGACGTATCGGTCCCACCTGCCACGGCCCAGGGAATTGCAAATCTTGCATCTTTGGCAGTGAATCAAAGAGACATAAACGCAGGTAGCGGACCGACCGGTGACGCAATATCTGTTTTTCGCCAAAGTCATAGTACTACTTCACTACTACCTCGCAGATGAGATACTTGACGATAAATCCAGAACACTGTTGGTCATGATTGAATTTTCCAAGGCGTTCGATACGATCAATCATGAGATTCTTCTCAGTAAGCTAAAGCATTGTGACATGTCAGAAGTTCCTTAGAATTTCTTCAGATCCAACCTAACTGACCGCACATAAAAAGTGAAAACATCTAGGTCATCTTCTGACGCACAGTATCATCAGCAGTTCCTCAGGGTTCAGTACTGGGACCTCTTTTATTATTAGTATACACCTTTGATCTGCATGAATGTGTAGAACATTGTTACATTCAAAAAAAAAAGTTACATGAAGGATCCTGCAAAATCACCCCAGAGGCAGAGCTACGGACATGCTCATCGTTGCAATCTGTGGAAACTTTTTCATGAAAAACCCAAATAGTGCACTAATGTTTCTGACAAAATCCACGTCTTTTTGATGCCATTGTACCTCATGATAAATAATTGTACTAGAAGTTGTTTCGAAAACGTGGGAGGTATAGTATCAACCTTCCTGACGCCATTGTTTTGTGCAAAAATGTCCAATCTCATTTACCCAAGAGAGGAGTGGCACGATAACCTCCGCCTCATAATATATGGAGTTGTCCAAAACGGACGCAGGAAAGTAAACGCATATTAAAAGAAGAAAGATTGATATTCAAATCAAGTTGGGTACTTTATTTTGAA